GAGGGGGAATGAGCAGAATTCGGTACCTACGGTACCAAGTTGTTTTCATTTTCCACTCAAACAGATTTTAGAAAGAGACTTTTAGAGAGTTTTTTCTTTTTCTTTTTTGCTGTAGTATACAATGACCCTACTGAAATTAAGGCATGAATACTCTTTTCATTACTAAAGGAAATTTATTGCAAAATTGAATATATAATATTCATGAAAACATTCAATAATTAGTCTTTTAAAAATTGTCATCCTTCATTTTACTTGACCATATTTTCTCAATTTTGTACGGATGGTATGGCTTCCTTTATGAGACAAACAAAAATCTTTTCTTTCAAGAAACAAATATAACCAAAGAGCTAGCACAAGAAATTTAAATCAAGATAGCAAACAATCTTCTGCTTTCCCTCCTACCCCAAATCACTGCAAATGGCAAGAAAACATGTATTTTATTTCAGATTTTTACAAAACATTGGAAACCAGAAAAGAATTCCATAGCTGACAGAAATTTCTGTATGTTAAACAAATGGGATTGATCTGGTAAGATAAAAACCTTTAACCAAAAGATGACTTCCAGGAAAAGAAGAGAAAAACAAAGAACAAAGAATGAACAAAAGTGAAAAAGGGATGAGAATAATTAAGAAATACTTGCAACACAAGAAACCACGAAGGCCTCCCCTTCCTTTGGTAGGTAGCTGTCCTGAAATATAATCCCAGGAAAACTGCAATCCAAATAAGCTGGGAAACTTCCCTGCGGCAGAGGATGGGGTCCTAATGCAAGCACAGGATCTGAGGGGCCAGGAGCTCCGGAGGCTGCGGGGAAGACACAGAGGAAGCCCACAGCCAGAGAGGAGCGTCCTCTCCCTCCCAGGCTGATTTTACGTTAGCAGGACAGGAGGACACTCCTAGGACCTGGCCTTGGTCAGAGCTCTTCCTCCCCTAAAACCTGGGACCCATGTGGTCTCCCGATCAGGCGGGACTCACCATGGGGTGGATGTGTACCACGTGGGCTGTTTACTGCCACACATGCCAAAAGCTAACGTGCTCTCCGCACAAAATCTTTACATGTAGACAATTGCTGGGAGACACTAAGTATTTACATCCACTTCATACCGGACACACCAAGAAATATTCACATGCTGTTTGGTTGTTTTTGTTATCTTTCTGTGTGAGTTTAGCCTGGAAGACTGCGGCTTCGCTGACAAAACCTCTCCACAGGACGTACATAAAAATCTGTTTTTGTTGCTGTTCTCCATGCCTCGGTGTTTTAAACACAGAATTCAGTTCTTTGGATTTACCTATGAAATTATCCTTCACTGAGTTGAAGACTTTTGAGTGATAGGCTGCCTGTGGCTATGTCTGCTGATAATCTGAATCATGTGGCAAGTTTACAGCAGCATAATTCATAATGGCTAAATCTTAGAAACTGTGTGTATTTCTATCAGCAGAAGAATGAAGGTGTATTTATACCCAGTGGAGTACTACACTGCCACAGGAAAAAAAGCGAGGCATTTGTAGGTGAGTGATACAATGTGAGAAAGTGATGTTAAGTGAAATAAGCCAGACACATCCTCAAATATCTTGTACTTCTAAGTAAAAGAGCAGATGTAGGTGAGAACACAAATAAAGAACAGAATAGAAGAGAGATAAATGGGAAATAGGGAGAAGTTCAGGTACTTCCCAAATTATAAATTCCATTGTTTAAAAAATATTTCAATCTATACGATAATTGGTTTCATTTATGCTACTGGTTTATTTTAGTTCATTGCAAAGAAGGATTAGCGTAATTATCTCTGTGCTTCTTCTTTGTAAGAATCTTTTTGGTTGATGTCTTGTAGTCTGACTCACTGGTCTGAAGATGATACAGTCTCATAACTACTGTTATTCTCTTGCTATTCAATTATGAAATTGTTTTATTTTTTCATAAACTAAAAAGAATTTAAAAAGAGAAACGAGGATACTCATTGCTTATACCACATGAACGTTCACGGCCCCAACCTGGAAGGGCCCTAAACGGCCACCATCTGGAGAATAGATGCACCAAAGTGGGCGTGTTTATACGGTGGGATGTTCCCAGATGCAAAAGGATGACATGTGACAGGGAGGCAAATTTTGAAATTATGATAACGATAGAAAGAAATGGATGCAAAAGAGCAGCATCTTATATTTACAATTCCACCTGTATGGACGGTGAAAGCAACCTCAGGTATTAGAAATCATGGCAGGGCTGTGGGCTCTGAGAGGAGGCCATGGATGCAGGAGGGCTTGAGGGAGGCTTCTGGGGCAGTGGACCTACCTCTCTGTGTTTTGGCTGACTGTGGTTAACTTGGCTGAATCTCTTTTGTTAAAACAAGTGGCATCGCACACCTAAATTACATGTGTTTATTACTTTAAAAATATACCTCAATTTAAAAATAATTCGATTTCTGAAAAACACTTTCATTCTTACCTCCAGAAAAATGGAAAGACCTATTTCTGCTTTGAATCCGAACATAGTATTATTACAGTGGGTAACTCAGAAATAACACTATGTTTGCTGAAATTGGCACAAAGAGTGAGACAAGACAAAGGATAATACAATCATGGCTGAAATAAAACTCACTGATTTGGATCATAAAGTTGAAAAAAGCTAGGACAAAGGCTAAACAGACCACCTGAGAGAAAAGTTAGGAAACAGTAGAAGTCAATTAAAGCAAAGCAGTGACGATTTCACGTGTGTTGTGGAAGTATGGGGCATAGGAAACGAGAAGAAAAAATAATTCAAGATCTAATGGAAGGAAATGTGTAGAAATTGCAGGGAAGTTCTCAGACAGAAAGAACCCAGAGCACACTGGTAAGTATGAAGGAAATGTGGACAGATCCATGGGCAAGTTCAGAATTCCAGACTCAAAATTCATAAAATTAAAAAAGTCAGGTAGACAGTAAACAAAAAAGCCATGAGAAGATTCTTTGTAAAGGAATGAGGTTCTGGCACCTAAAATAAGACAGGGAAAAAAGAAAAACCCAATGTCCCACGCCAAGGGTGTCGCAGTCTGTCAAGGAAAACTGTGAGAAATTGCACTGCACAGGTTTTGTGGGAAAGGTGAGGTTCTGTATTAAAAACAACCACTGGCACAGGCTCCTGAAAGGACCATCAGCAGGGATGGTGCTGCCCGCAGGTGCGTGTCAGAGGTCGCACCGTGAACTGGACAAGCTCACAAGGCTGCCAGAGAAGCTGCTGCTGTGTCGCTCTGCAGTTGTGCCAGGTTTGCTTTACCCATCATCAGTTTCTCATTTTGTGATTAGAACAGACTCCTACTTGTTTAAATCAAGGTTCCCTAGATTTTCTTTCACCTAGATTTTCACACACAGATGTAAGTGAGGATTTCTAACAGATGGCGTGATTGTATTTTGTAGTGAATTATGAATCAATAGCAAGCATGGCTATCTGATTTTCACTGAAGACACTGGAAATAAACTAGATTGATTACTCTGCCTTTTGAATAAGCGAACATCTCCACTGTATATTTCATTTATGTCAACTGAACATAAGGATGGTGTCTTCTTTTATCTGAATAAAAGTGATGGGCGGGCCAGGTCCCTGGTCAGTGCCGATGGGGTGTGGATGCCCCAGCCCAGCAGCAGTTGTGTCTTGGGGTCCCAGGCCCACCTCATGAAGTACATGAGCAGCTAGTCTTTTATGGCAAGGAGCTTTGTGCCAAATGAATATGTTGGTTATTAGTGAAATTGTAAAACTTGTTATGGCCTTCTTTTTAACATGTTTATTGAGATAGAGGCAGCACACATTAACTGCATGTGAAGCTGCGATATTTAAAGTGTGCAAAGCTTTCAGTGACTATGGAACATTTACCAGAGTCGAGATCATGACCAAAGCCAGCAATCCTCTAAAAACGTCCTCATGTCCCTTGGGAGTCTGTCCTTCCCTCCCCTCCTCAGCCATCCTAGAGCCCCAGAAAAATCACTGGTCTTTCCATCACTCTGGATGTGTCCACTTTTCCCATCCTTTTATATAAATTGGAAATTTTGGTCTGGCTTCCTTCACACAGCATGATTATTCTGAGGCCTGTCCATCGTTTCAGTCCTGCTCCATTGCATGGACACCCACCCTTTGTGTACCTGCACGAGGACATCTGAGTTGTTCTCAGTTGAGTGCTGTTACACACGACACGGCTATACACAGTCTCCATGTGACTGTGCCTTCCTGCAGGCGGGATGCCAGAACTCATGGAGAGCATACAACCTTAACATTTTAAGAAACTGTCCAGTATCTTTCAAAGTGGACCAACCGAGGCGCATTCCCAGTGTGTAAAGGTGCCAGTGGCTCTGGACCTTGGCTCTTGTTCGCCACTCCAAGAGGCTGAGGGTCCCATGGTGACTTTCCTTGCTTTATTTCTAGGATCATTCATGCTACTGAGCATAATTCCGTGAGCTGATTTGCCACCCACCTGTCTTCTTTGGAGGAGTGTCTGTTCACATTTTTGCCCATTGTAAAAGGCAAGGAAAGACCAAACATGAATTTGACAGTGGCAAACTCACAGTGTATTCCTGAGAGAGGGAGGCAGTTTGTTTTCCTGAGTGGCTGTGGAATGTTTAGTATGCAAAGAAGGAGCTTTGATGTTATTGCTGACAACAAGAGGGATTAAAATTGAGAAAAGGGGGAGCTAAACCAGTTGAGCAAGGCTCTTTGTCCTGAAAAGCTTTGATGTTATTGCTGACAAGAGGGATTAAAATTGAGAAAAGGGGGAGCTAAACCAGTTGAGCAAGGCTCTTTGTCCTGAAGCCTAGCAGTATCAACAAGACAGAGGAAAATGTGGAGAACTGGAAGCAGCCCTCAAGTGAGCGGTGGTCAGAGAGAGGCCACAGGAACAACACGATTCTTTTCCAAAATCCACCTCACCGAGGCTGAAAGCAAGTGCAGAGCATTCTGAAAGCACTCTCACCACCTCCTCCGAGATGACTGGGCTGTGGGTAGCCACCGCGTGCCCCACCCACCACTGAGGGTCACAGAGTTTCTTGCCAGTGCAGCGTCAGCGGGGAAGACAGAACCTACTGGAATTTGTGTTTTCTTTCTTCTGCCTGCGAGGAAGTTAGGAAAGGAGATGCGAAGGCACAAAAATATGTAACACAACTCCACCCTAAGGAGAGAAAAGATGGCTGAGGACAGGGCCGTAAGTAGAAACCGATGTGGCCAGCATGCTGGGTAAGCCAGGCTCTGCCCTGCTGCGTCTCAGCTGAGGCCAGCGCTGTCCTCGGCCTGCGAGAAAGTGGCGCTGTGGGGTCTGGACACCAAGGCCAGTGACTGGTGGCCCCCCTGCACCGGCGCGCAGAACATCCAGGGATGGTTCTGCCAGGGATGCCGGCCACAGCGGGCACACTCGAGACTCGGTGGAACCAACACTCCTAAGAGGATTTTGTCAGGAAATAAGAAGTAAAGACACTAAATATGCCAGAAGGGTAACACGATCATCCCGTTCCTAAGGATGTGTCATTTTTGTAGAATAGAACCTGCAGTTATTTGTGGATTAACCCATTAGGCTCATCCACAGCTGAGTGTTTTCCTTACAAATTGAATAAAGGTAGCCAGCTACCTTGGCGTCCATGCTCGTTTTCCCAGGATGCACACTGTCTCTGGAGAGATGGCTCCTCCCACACCCACCCTCAGCTTCTCTCCCACTGCTTACCACTGGGTCACTCGTTTTGATGACTTCCGGCAGCTGCTTTTCTTCCTGGGGACCATCCACCTGCGTGGTGTGGTTGTCACAAGAAGCATCCGGCTAGTGAAAGAAACAGAAGCCGTTGTAATGCAGGCTTATCTTTGAGCACGAGACCGTGTGTTCCGCAAGGCATTTCGCTAGGATCTGTGCCGATCTGTGCGCAGCGACACACAGGTCAACGGCTGGCGCCTGGCTCCGGTAACCGCGCTTCCTGGCGCATCCATAACCGTGCCGATCCGCACGAAGCCATGCACAGCCACAGCCTCGGTCTCTCAGGCAGGCGCTGCTAGCTGCCTGCCCAAATTTCCTTTCCTTTCTTTTGTTTTAAACTTATGAATGTGGTTTTCCTCCAAGGTTCTGTGTAGCCAAAAAGACTCAGTAAGGCCCCGAGGTGGTGACACCCGATGAGGTGAAGGTGAGGGCTGCCTGGCGGGGTGTTTTCTTGTGGAAGCAGACAGAACCAGCTGGTCAGCCTGTTCAGAGAACACCGGCTCTGTGCCTGAGATGCCCGGATGTCCTGAAACGACTAAGAATTAGCCCCGGTGCCAAAGGGAGCAGAGTGGGAAGGTGGACGGGTCGGTAGATCTGTGCCGGAGCAGCGATGCAACCTTTACCTTCCTACTTTGGGCTATTTTTTATAAGAAACATAAACCTATAATTGCCTAATGACGTGACTTCCTGTTAAAATCATGCCTTTTATTTTATTTATTTATTATTTGGTACCGGGGATCAAACTCAGGACCTTGCGCTTGAGAGGCAGGCTGTGGAACCACTGAGCTAAACCCAGGACCTCTACCCTTTAAAACCAGACCTCACTTAGGAAAGTATTTTGCAACAGTTTACTGTGTTATTTTTCAATTAGGAAACTGGAAATACATTCGATCACTTCATGAATAACCAGGGCTGAACCAAATATTTCTTTCCCATTCGCTGAATACTGAGAAAGCTCAGACTTTCATTATACAGAGGTATATTTGGAGACTTGATGCATCTTATAACTGTAAGCCTGGTGTGTAAGCTCTAAGATTTAGTAGCACCTGTAATAAACACATTCGCAAAATGGGAAGCACATCACACATCCCATGGTTGAAGCATTTTTTTGAACAATTAAACATACTGGATATTACTGAAATCGAAAACTGTTTCATGAGACTTTAGGAAACACCGCTTTTTAAAATCTTATTTCTCTGTGTCTTCAAACTTGCCCTCAAATATTATATACTATGTTAATAAGAATGATACACATTTATTTTTAAGTGGAAACAATGCTCAAGAGGAAGCAGGTGAAACCTGGACTGGGCTGGATCCAAGTCTGAGTATGAAGAGTATTTTAATGAGAACAGGCCCCACAAGGGTGCTAGAATCAACAGTGTCCTACAACAGATCAGAAGTGGTGAGGAGCCCCTGGGAAATGTCTGATAATGGTGGTGGCACCCTCAGCCAAGGACGGCACAGGACGGCACTGCTGTCCAGGAAAGAGACCGTGGGACAACACAGCCACCAAATGCCTCCTAGTCCACGGGCCCTGCCAGTATAACTCATGGGCTACACACCATTGTCCCCATGCAGTGGCGGACAGGCCTGCCACTGGCCCCGTGTCCGAAGCAGCAGGCAGGAGCTGTGCTTGAACCAGGAGATGCACTGGAAACGCCCACTGCCTTCCTGAGCAAGATTCCAGGCAGCTATCCAGGCTGGGGACAAAACAGACCTGGCTGTCAGACTGCACTGGGCCTCTGGGAAAGGTCCGCATGGTGAATACCAGGAAACATCAGCTCTGCGTGAGGCAGGCAGAAATGACGCCACTGGCTCCACCCTTTTGGTGTGGAAGGTGTGTGCAGTTTGAGTGGGTCCCCCAAAAGCATGGGTTAGACCATCTTCTACCATGGGATTCCCCCAAATCTCCAAATAAGAGGGGGTGAAGCAGCTCAAAAGCTCTTGCTAGATGCCAGCCCAGCCCTCCAATACTGGACATCCCGGCCTCCAGAGCCGTAAGACACAAGTCTCTGTTCTTCATCCATTGCCTGCCAAGCTGTGGCACCGTTACAGCAACACAAATGGACCAAGACTGCACGTGTGCACATGTGTGTGTGCTATTAACCTCCACTCACACACTGTGCACACACCACCACCCCGGAAGTCAGCCTAGCACTTCTACCAAGAACTCGGCCTGTGGGAAGACATCTGCATATTGGGACTGCCAGGTCTTAGGCCATCAGTTAATCCATTGAGTCCGCGAGTGGATGTCAGTCGGTCGTAAAGGGCCAGCCCCACTAGAGAAAATCGTCATCTGTACAGAAGAAATGTACTGATGTATCTTATAACTGAGAGAAGAGAAGAAAGCTTATGACGATGTAGTGATTTCAGAGAGATCAGAGCAGCTATTGCAGCCATAAATCAGAAACTATAAGAAAAAAAGGAAAATAGGAGAGTTCTTGTGAAGAAACAGTATGGTTATAAATCTAAATTAATTAAAAAAAATGAATCAAAACCTAAGAGTGGCTAAACTGTAATCCTTCATGGCAAAAATTAGAATTAGAGATCTACAAAGTGATGTGGACAAAATCTCCTAATGCACAGAACAAACAAAGAAACCCATGGAAAATACAACAAACAACTCAAGAAATCTGTAAAATTAACCCAAGCAATGAAAAGAAAAACAGAAAATGCAGAGAAGTCACAGGAAGGAAGAACACCTTCAGAACTGACAGGGATCATTTTCAGAAAGAGCCGAGTGCTGAGCCGGCGGGGAAAGGCAACTTCATATCCTGATGACATTTCAGGTCTCAACAATAAAGAGAAACCTAAAAAGCTTCCAGAAACCTAAAAATGCAACTGGGGTATAGATAAAGAGGCAAGATTTAGAGAGCATTAGACTTCTCAGTAAAAAGCAAATGCCCCATATCCACAAGTTTTGGGAGGAAGCAGATTTAGGACCCTGTACTTTCAGACTCCAATATAAACTTTCTGTGTTTTTTGAATATGAGAATTTATGGTCCAGAGATGTTTTTTTCCACGATTCTCCTTGAGGGCTAGAGGCTGCACACAGGCAAGATTCGGCAGCACGGAGGAGCCCCAAGGGGATACTTTGATCATTCTCTGCTGGCGCTCCCTCATCTTCCTCCTGTGACAAAGAATGGCATAGACGATCCCCAACTTACAGAGGTTCCACTCAGCTTTGGACCTCAGGACGGCATGACAGTGATGCCTGCTGTAGAAACGGTCTGGCGAGTTTGCACTCAGGTCTTTTCCGGAGCGGGGCTGTTGGGTCTTTCAGCTCCTCATCCCCCAGACCCTGAGCAGGGGTGACCCACACTCCAGCTGCACATTCACGTGCTCTGGGCAGGTACAAAATCATCTCCCAGACACTCTACTCAAAGGCTAATTGTTAGCTAGGTGTGGTGGTGCACACCTGTAATCCCAGCACTCTGGGAGGCCAAGGCAGGAGGATGGTACGTTTAAACACAGACAGAGAAACTTAACAAGACCTCGTTTCAAAATAAGAAGTGAAAAAAAAAAAAAGACTGGACATAGCTCAGTGTGAAGATCTTGGGGTCACTCCCCAAGACTGGAAAACAAAGCGAACACCGCCCCAAAGGCCAGCAGCCAGCTGTTATGCTACCCAGGACTGTGAGCGACAGTGTTTCTCCCCCTGTCATGCGTCACTGCTTCTGATGGTGCACATGAGCTTGTTTCTGGGCTCATCTGTGCAGATCCGGTGTGCAAGGACCGTGTATCCCCATTCTGCTGCTGGTGCGGCAGTGCCAGGCACTTGGGGGCTGGTGATGCCACCCTTGCCCCCCTCAAGGCCCCATAAAGTCTGCTCTGACCGCTGCTTCCCCCTGTCCTTTCTGCGGGAGGCTGTAGAGCAGCGTGCCGGGGCGGCCTGGGGCTGGGTGCACCGTGAGCTTCCGTGTCTTTCCTCGGAGTGTTGGAGAAGCAGCCCTGGGCGGTGAGCCTGCCGCCTGTGCTGTGGCGAGCTGCCGCTTCGCTGGGTGTCCTCCCAACTCCATCACAGGCACAAGTGTGGCGGGGGGTCCCAAGAGACCTCTGGCCCCGTGTGGGACCCGACACAGGAGATATTTCAACCGATATCGATTAAAATCCGGTTTACAAGTGTTTGCCGAGGAGCAGGCACCCGATCAGCGCGTATACCGGGACGCCCTTTTATAACCGTCTGTTTTCGTCTGCCGCTTCAGATGCTTGGACCTGAAAAAGGTGATGGATCTCTTTTCCAGTTCTCTGCTGGCCAGATGTGAAGTCCGATGTTCAACAAGAAAACAGTCCCAGAGGAAAGATTCCTGCACACTCTTGGAGCACCGAATCCCACCCTCCTGTATCAGAGAGACAGGGGACATCCACAGATTGTCACCACTGTGCTTTCTCTGGTCTGCAAGAAGGGAAAAGCTGAGCATGGGGATAAAATGATAAAGGAGAAAAGAGAGGCAGGAGCCATGAGTCCAGGCTGGGTAACAGCTGATAAAACCTGAGGTTGTGGGCGGCCCAGAGACCAGCAGCTCCTGCCTGGCCCTGGAGGTGACTAGGGTGGGCTGGGGCTGGCTCCTGACCCCAGAGAGACCACAGCCCGGGTCATTCTCTTCCCCTCAGCTGCGTCCACGCGTCTGGGGTGAGGTGTGGTGTGTTCTGCCAGTCTCTCCCGCAGGGCAGGCCCTGCTTCTTACCAGCAGGCTGAGGCAGAGGCAGTCAGCACAGTAGGCTGTCAGGCAGTACACACTGTGAGGGGTTCAGGAAGGTGGAGGAGACCCTGCCTCACTGAAAACCCTGCATTGAGAAAATCCCAAACTCGAAGACCCCTGCTGCCAAGGTGACAGAGAAGGCCAGACCTCTCACCGGAGCTGAGCCTCTAGGAGAAACACCCGGAGGCCAGATCTGCAAGGAGGACAGTGCAGGGGATCCGCGGCCCTGCTTCCCCTCTGAGCCGAGCCTTCCCTCAGGAAGCAGAACAGCAAGAACATAGACTGGCCATGGCCAGGCCACGAAGCAGAGTCCATCCCCGAGGGGGCTTCGAGCCGGCCAGTGCTGGACAACCAACACCCAGAGAC